TCCTTCTTTGGAGTTTGAATAACATTGTAATAGAAGCACAAACACTTTCAACAGCTTGGTCTGTCTGTTTAACATCAATTTTGGTGACGATTATCTGTACCGCAGTTTTGCATGGGCAAATTTCCCTTACGTTATCATCCAGCCAGCTTTCAAAGCTATCTTGAATTTGGCATCACTATCTCTGCTCACTTTAAATCTTAAATTTATCCTATGGCCTGACAGAGGTGGATTTTTTGAACACAAACTCTTAATTTTCTTTGGCTTTCCTAAGAAGACTGTGGGTTAGACTATAGCGGCTTTAGGACAGGGGAGAAAGGGTAGGATAGAAAACAAAGGAGTGCTGGTCTCCCAAGGGATGGCACAAATGGTTAACCTGGTTGACCGCTAACTGAGAAGTTGAAGGTTCAAGTCCACATGGGGTGGATCACGAGAAAGTCCTGGGGATCCACTTCTGAAAGTCGTGGGCTGAAAACTCCGTGCAGCACAATTCAACTCTGACACAAATGAAGTTGCCAAGTGTCAGAATCAGTGTGCAAGGAGCTGGTTGGATGGGAGACGGCGCTGGAAGATGTAAGTGACTCCCAAGTCATACTTTTATTTCTCGGATTTGAAGTATTATAACTTCCTACAAACATGACTGAGAATCAAAATATATGTGACATGTTGTTGTTGTGTGCTGTTGAGTCAGAAGTGACTCAAGAAGGTTTTCAGAGGTTGTAAAGGAGGATATTCTTCATCTTCCTCCTTTGGAGTAGTTGGTGGATTGGAACTGCCTGCCTTTTAGTTGACAGTGCTATCCCTTACCCACTAGGCCACCAGAGTCTTCATATGTAATGTAGAAATATATGTTTAAGGTACATAGTATTCTTTAACAGAAATGTAACATTTGTAATTATTACTACCCTCCTTCTCCTATTTAGATTAAAAAACAAAAATATCTGTTTATGTTTCTTTTTTTCTCTATGAAAAGAGACAGGGGCACCCTGTGAAGAATGTCACCTGCCCTCCCTGAGCTCACCTGTGTTCCAAAATCAGACTGCTCAGCTCTGCCTGTCTGGGAGTCACCATCTACTCAGCTTATTAGGAGATGAGCACATTTGTGAGTGCATCGCGGTTAACTGAGAGAAGTATGCATATCTGGCACCTGGCATTCCAATCAAAAGTCAGTTATTTGGACACATATTCATGATTTACACAACCACTGTTGTGTTGTATGTTACTTCATAACAAATCTAAGTAGTGACTGTGATTATTATAAATTTTGAGATATCACTGAAGACTTCTGAATCCAGAGGTGGGTTCACACCTCTTTGTGATGAGAGGGCCTGCTCTCCAGCTATGAGGGAACATGGGTGGCGGATGGCTCTGCCAGGAGGTTGGGAACCAGAGTGACAGTGCCAAGTCACATTGGGCTCAGTAAAGAGCAGCTCCTTTCTCTAGGGTGGAGCAAAGGTGAAAGGTTGAAGGTTGGTGGTTCTAGTCTACCTAAAGATGCTCCTAAAGAACAGCCTGGAGAACTATTTTCCAAAACCAGTTGCTGAAAATCCCGTGGAGCACTATTTTACTTTGATACGCATCAGATGACCATGAACTGAGATTGATTCAACACCAACTAGTAGATTTGATTTCCCCTTTCTTTCCCTTAGTGGACATTTCTCCCATTCATTGAAAATCAAATATTAAGCAAATCAGATTAGAGGATGAAAATGGAGATGATAGGAATGAGGCCTTAGGATGGGAGATCTGGGAGAGCAGGGTCCAGAAGCCGAGGCCCACGACAAGCATGTGTTCTTCTTCCATACCTCATGAACGCTCTCCCAGGAGGGAGCTGGGGGTGCGCTGTACTGAAGGGCTCACTAGCCACACATTCAGCTGCCCTTCCATAAATCTAAAGTGTGCTTAACTAGAAATACCTGGGAATTCTGGAGCAGAGGAATTCTAATTATTCACTTGTTGTTGTTAAATGAAAGACCTGAACATTTGTATAACTTTTCTTCATTTCTCCAAGTTCATAGGGTTTCCAGAGGCAAGCTACTTCAGAAGTGGATGCCACTCCTGCTTCCAAGCTTGTTTTAATCGGGGAGCTCCACCAAACACTGTCCACCATGGGTGATCAATATCGCATTTGGCACATCAGGGTCACAATGTTTAGCATCACAGCAACCACGAGTTACCTCTATACAGCAAATCGACAGACCAGTGTTATACCATCTAGAAGAAGATTTGACCAAAAACAATTAAAAGCAGGTCTGAAACTCAGCTGAATGACAAAAAAAAAAGCAGGTCTGAGGGATGCAGATTAAAATCACCCACCTTTGGCTCGGTAGCATCACTTTCTGTCCATTAGGCCAACTGACTCTATGTTGTTGTTAAATTGCACCGAGTCGTTTACAAGTGTAAATTAATCCCCTTACTTGAATTTCTGAACTATCTAACTGGAGTAAGGTTTTTGTGAACCAATTTTTAAAAATATGTAGATTGCCAGGCCTTTCTTCCTAGTCTTAATCTAGATGTTCCACTGAAAGTTGTCCACCATGGGGGAACCTGCTCATTACAAAAAATACTGGTAGCATAGCTTGCAATATCACAGCAATCCAGGATAGTGTGACAAACTGCCAGGGGAGTGGTGGACCTCGCCTCATAACTGGGCCAATAAATAACATCATGATAAATACAGAAAAGAGTGAAGGAGGTGGAGGGAAAGAAGCAGATCAGGAGATTTTAGAGGCATTCAGAAAGACAGAGCAAATAAAAAGGCAGTGGGAAGACAGGAGGCAAGGTGTAGGTGAACCTGTAGTCTGGACACACTTTGATGGGAATTACTCTTGGAACATAATTATATTTGGCAAAGGAACATATAGCACTAAAACTTTCAAAAGATAGGTTACTGCTTCACAAATCATTTTTCTCATTTATTTATACATTCTAAGAGGGGGCTCTGGTAGCATAGTTCAGAGAGATTTGCACTGCTAACTCTGGCAGTTTGAATTCAGCAGCAACTCTCCACAAGGATGGGAGATTTCCTCCTGTGCTTTTCACAGCCTCCAAACACCCACTGGAGAGTCAGCTATGAGTCAGCTTCAACTCAGTGTTTGCACGCTGTGTGTGTGTAAGAGCTTTAAAGGAGTCCCTGTAAAGGTGACACACATGGTTACACAATCAACTACTTGATGAAAGTCTAGCATTACAAACCTACCCGGGGTAACTCAGAAGACAAGTTTGACAACTGGCTTCAGAAAAGTCACAACTTTGGAAACACTGCGGACACACATGACGTCATTTGAGTGAGAATCAGCTCAACAGCGGTAATGATAACAAGAGCTGTCCACTCGTGGCCAAGGGACTACCAGCAAGGACGATAGTCAGGGATGCTGCCCATCTGCCTGACGAAGTGTTCTCCAAGCCCCTTTGCTCGTCTGTTCTCTGTTTCTCCCTGTCAATAGTCTAGTTCTGTGTCTTGCATTTCTGCTTGACCACAAAACACCACTTATATTCTTCCCTTGTAATCACTACATGTTTATGCCACTAGAGAGACAATACTTAGTTTTATTAAGACTAACATTGGTCATACATATACAAGAAGCACTCAGGGCAAGACTCATCAAGAAATCAGAAGACATGTTGCGTTGGGAAAACCTACTGACAGGGAACTTACAGAAATGTTAAAGAATAAGGATGTGAGTTTAAAAACTAAGGTGCACCTGAACCAACCCATGACATTTTCAATTATTTCCTATGGATGTGAAAGAGGAGTAAAGAGTAACAGTGGCAGAGAAGAATTTATACCCTAGGGTTGTGATGGAGAAGGCTGCTGAACTTCCTATGGATTTTCAGAAGAATAAATAAATCTGTCTTGGAGAAAGTGCAACCAGGATGCCCTTCAGAGGCAAGGATAGTGAAACACTGTCTCATATACTTTGGCCATGTTTCTAGAAGAGCCAGTCTTTGGATAAGGGCATCACGCTAGGGAAGGTGGAGGGTCAGTGAAGGAGAGGAAGACCCTCGACAGGATGAATTGATGTCACTGTCACAGTGTGCTCAAGAACATCAAGGGGTAGTGTGCCTGGTCCAGGACGGGGCAAGGTGTGGATCTGTTATTCATTGGGTCACTGCGAGGCAGTCAACTCAATGGCACCTAACAACGACAATCACCACTAGTCAAGAGTTCTAGTGGGGGAGTAGGAAGCATGTATGTTGAGCTGCTAACCAAAAGGCCGAGTACCTAGGGTGATTTGAATCCTCCAGTGCCTCTGAGGGAGAAAGATAGACAGTCTCCTTCCATTCAAATTCACAGCCCTGAAACCTCCTGGAGGGTCCCTGTGCTTTAAAATCAACTCTATGGGAGTTAGCCATTGATCAAAGAAAAATTCAGTCTTTATTGTTTCAGGATTGGATTCCTTTGGGGGCATCCTGGCTTTAAGACAGAGCTAAATTTACAAGTTAACAAAGTCATAGTCTCCTAGCTGTGTTCTACTATCATGACAATAACGTGTTTCTCTGTGACACCATGTTGATTTCTTGACGGTGTGGACACAACACTTTAGAGTCACACAGGATAACACGAGCTTGGTTTTACCCCAGCTGGCATTATATACACTCTCTTCATGAAAGAACGCACATAGTTCATAAGTCAGAAAGAGCAGACAGAAACGTAAGTTTATATTATGATCTTCACATATTTTTTTTAAGTGATTTCAGGTGGAAAGGCAGGTGCGTGGGGGAGAACAGACAATTTCAAATGTAATGGTAATTAAAGACTCCTCAAATCCCTTCATGGTAAGTGGTTTCTAGAATATGGTCCATGACAGTAATAACAGCATGCTGTATTTCAAGGGGCTAGCTGTGGGGTTACAAATAAATGCCATCATCGCCTAAGAAAGGGTGGCTTTATGGTATTTCCTGAAAATCCAGTTCTCAAAGTGCCAACACACCTCAAACCATCTGGGGAATCCAGATCCTAGTGTGAAGGAAAGCAGAGTAGAAGTCCTCTCATCGGCCCCTCAGTAGGCTCGGCGACATTCATATGCCCCCCAGGCCATGCCCCCATCTTCTTTGGTCCACGGGGAAGGGTCGTGCAGGGAAGGGGCATCTGCCCCCTCGTCAGCAGACAGTGGCACCACTTTGGGGGCTAGGTCATTCGTCACCGTCATGAAAGGGGCAAAGGGATAGGGGGGCGGGGTGGGGTACCCTGGCGTGTGGTGCAGCTCCTCCAGGCCATGCAGCGAGTAGGACTGAGCCCCAGCCAAGGTGGACCCCCAGCTTGAGCTCCGGTGCTGAGCGCTGCTCCCTGATTCCAGTTGGGAGAGGCAACTGGTGTTGGGTGCCAAGGGCTGCAGGGGGTCCCCAGGTGCTGGGTCCTGCTGGCTGAGACCATCAGGCACTGTCTGCTCCCATGTGTCCCTCTGCAGAAAACAGAAAGATGGCTGGCATTATTCGCAGGGGTCACTCTCTGGAAACATTCCCTCTCCCATGACTTCCAGAGGAAGTAGACTTGTACCATCTCTCTGCATCCAAACCTAGTTAGCACACCGTCTTCCCACCCTGGATTTTCACAGCTGCAGGGAAAGCTTTAGTTGTATCCTACTCTAAAACTGTATTTCCTGGTGGCTTAGTGGTAAGGAGTTGCCTTAACAACTTAGAGGTAAGCAGTTTGAATCCACCAGCTGCCCCCAGCAAGAAACATAGGCAATCTCCCCCAATGCAATTTTACAGCCTTTGAATACTGGTTAGATGATTGAGACTCAAAGACGTGAGTTATCATTAAAGGGATCTCTGGAAGCACTGTCTCCCTGGTGGCCTGGATTCACCAGCAGCTCTCAGGGAACAAAATGGGCAATTTCCTCCCTTGTGATTTATAGCCTTGGAAACCCAGTGGAGGATCAGCCATGAGGTGGTTCTCAGTTGCTGGCAGTGTTTGAGCTTTGCAAACTGTGGGGTGAGTCAGATGTTGTAAACTGTTAACTGAGAGGGTTGGAAACGGAAATTTATCCAGCCGCTCCTGGGAAGTAGGGCCAGGTGATTTAATGTAAAAAATAACATCAGGCACTGAAAACCCTACAGAACATTTTATTCTAAACAAGGGGTCAGAATGGGTCAGAATCAACCTGATACAACCTAACACCAACAGTGGGGTCACTGGGGGCCTAGCTGTAAGAAGCTGTGCTACCATTTGAAAGGCATGGTGTGTGATTTAATGTCTCTGACAACCCACTGAGGCACCAGTTATGGGTTGGTTCTGACTCAACCAGGGAATCCCTGGGTGATGCAAATTGTCAGTGTCCTAGCTGCTAACCCAAACCTTGGAGGCTCCAGGCTACCTACAAATTCCTAGGAAGAAAGGTCTGGTGATCTGCTACCAAAACACACAGCCACCGAGAACCCCAAAAGTGCATGCAGTTCACACACATACTGTTACCACCAGCTGGAACCGACTTGACAGTGACTGGTTTACATACACCAGGAGCTCTGAAGGAGAAAGATGGCTGATCTCCCCCCACGAGATTGATAAGATTGACAGCCTCAGAAACTGGGAGCGTCAGCTATGAGTCGGTTCCAATTTGACAAGAATGAGTTTGAGTCTCGTGTTCCCTCAACAATGTTGCATAAGTGAGATGCTAATATGGGAACAATAAAACAAACATTTCTAAAGAACTTAAGTATTTAGAATGCACTATGTCATCTATGACTCAATGACACAACAATAACAACGATGACAGAGAGAGAGCTACGTTGGCCTAGTGGACAAAAAAGTTATGCTACCTAGCTGAAGGTGGGTGATTTTAATCTGCGGCCCTCAGGCTGGGTTCAAATTGTTTTCTTGTCAAACATTCTTCTAGGTGGTATAGCACTGGTCTGTGCATTGTTGTACAAAGGTAACTCGTGGTTGCTGTGATGCTGACCACTGTGACACTGATGTGCCAAACGTGGTAATAGTCACCCATGGTGGACAGTGTTTGCTGGAGCTTCCTGACTAAAACAAGCTCGGAAACAGGAGTGGCATCCACTTCCAAAATGGCTTGCCTCTGGAAACCCTATGAACAATGCTCAGGCCTTTTGTTCATAGGGTCGCTATGAGTCGTCTACGACTTGACGGCACCAAACAACAACAACAACAACATATTGTGTATTATCCTTTGTTCCAGACGATGCTCTGGGCCATTTCCACATGGGGGAAGGTCATCTCCCAGCTCACTGCTGAGAGCAGCAGGTCTCCTTCAACCTAGTGAGCTTCTAAATCAGCTGGAAAGGCTCACTTGTCCCCAGTGAGCGAAAAGAGGGAGGAAGCTCATAGGTTCTGTTGCTGGACAAATCCAGCTTTAATTTATGGCCATCCCACTTACTATCTTCTTGATATCAAGGCACTTCACTATGTACTTCTGTGAAATGGAACTTTATTAACTACATCCTTCATTGTCAGGATTAAGTGCATAAAAGCTCCTGGAACAGTCTCAGTCTCTCATTGCAATTGAGTTGGATCAGACTTATAGCTGACTTTCCATTGAGTTTGCAATACTGTTAATGACACCAGAGGAGACTGCTCATCTCTCTCTGTGGAACCAGCTTGTGGATTATGACTGCCAGAGAGGCCTTTGGATCAGGAGTGCAACTCGTGACAGACTAGGCCACCAGAGCTCCCTTAAACAGAGTTAAAACTCAAAACTCAAACTCTGTGCCATGGAGTCAGAAGACTCATGGCTGACCCTCCAGTGGAAACAGCATAGGAGGAGGTAGCCATCCTCTCCTATAGAGCTGCTGGATTCAAACTACCTGCGTTTAAGTGGGACTCACAACTCCTTATCCACTAGGCCAAAAGAGTCAGTTACTGGGTAATGTGAATCCCCACTCTATGTATAAAAGATCATGATTAAAGATTCATTTCTTTGTGGTTAAAAACTTTCAAAGACTCCTTATGAAGAGTTTGACCAGTCTCTGGATTTTTATGAGCGGATCCCTTTGGAGTTCCATGGGGTGAAAGGGCTGTGAGAAAGTGGGAGGTAGGAGTGAGAGGGCAAGAGATGGGGAAGGGATGGGGGAAGAGTCCCGCCCACAGGTCTTCGTTGGAACATTATGCTCTTTCCTTAAGCACTGGTGGGAGTAGGGACCATCTTTCAAAATCAGTAAGATATTAACAAAATAGATCTAAATCCAGACTTAATAGCTTTATTTGCTGCATGTTTGGGTGGGTGTTCCCTGCCCACCCTACCTACAGGGTTATGATCTGAGGCGTGTGGGAGGTGGGAATAAGTAGCCAACCAACTGTTTCTATTGCCAGCTACGCTAGATCAGCCAGTAATTGAAAACCAAGGCCTTATGTCTCTGGTTCTAACTGATAGAGCTCTGAGGGGGACCCTTTCCCTCCTGCATGCTGCAAGGGCTGGTGGTCCAGCATAGGACGGAGGGACGACTGCAGGCTGCTGGTTTGGGGTGGAAGGGACGTCAAGACTTGGCTTCAATCTGGTTACCAAGTGTGTGGACCCTCCCTAAGCAGGCCCAGGCCTTAGCACTGGCCCTGGAAATGGACCTGTCCCCATACTCACAAAGACAAAGGGTGTGGAGTCGCTGGGGAAGGGCGGCGGCAGGAGCGGGGGCAGAGGCGAGGCCCCCAGCACTGAGCCTGCACTGGGCGGGAGCGCTGCGGGGCGGTAGTCGCCATAGGGCTCCGGGAAGTAGGGATCCAGCAGCCCTGGGAAGCTCTGTCCCGGGGAGGACTCGCAGGCAAAGGGCTTAGCCACACCGGAGGTGTAGACGTCCCCAGGAAATGGCTTAGTGTTGTGGAAGTCGGAGTCAGATAAGAACGATCTCCTGACACCATAGTAACCCGACATCACCGGAGAGCCTGTTGCCAAAAGAAAAACAAATGAGAGGGGGTGGGAACCCAATGAGCTAGCAGAGGACATAGCTGTTACAGCCGGTTTCTCCCCGTGGGAAAACAGAGGTTACCCATGCATGCCTGATACCAAGGGTAACATTTAAGTAGATAAGTGACTTGAATTGCATACCATATTCTAGTACCCCCTTTAACCTTTCTGACCCAGGATTTGTTACGTACTCCAGCCTTAGGGAAGAATTTCTTTCAGAAGGCTGAGTGACCATTTCACTTGACAGACAGACATACGTTGTGAACGAACTCTTTTGTGTCTGACACTGTTAGGAAGGAGTTGGATTTAAGAAAGAGAATGATCTTGTCTTAGCATGTGATCTAATGAAATATCCTATCTTTTTTATAGTTATACCACTATATGTACAGAATCATTAAAAACTGGGCTGCAGAACTTTCCAGAAGACTTTTTTTTTTTTTTACTGAAATACGGTTTCAGTGCATAAGGGAATACCTATAATGTTGCTTTAAGGCAGAGGCAGACTGTAGTGTCTTCAGTTCCATTGTGCATACTGACCTTTAGTGTGTCTTGCTACTGGCAGGCATTCTGTAAGGGGCTTGCTTTTGAATGATATGGCTTCTGTGCAGTCAAATTAGAGAAGTACAGAAGGTGTCCTAGCTGTTTTTAAGAGTCTTGTGTTATTTGCTGCCCTCTTGTGGCTATAGTGAGTCCTGTACCCAGCTCACAAGATCAACGTTTTAGGAAGCCAGCTCTTGGTGTTATTGAAAGTGTCCTTTAATGGAAATGGGGGAAAGCTCAAACTGAGTTGAATATTATTTAGGGTAAGGTAGTGCAAAGATTCCAGAAGAGATGATGTTTGCCTTTTTTAAAAAATTTATATATTTTTTCTTATTAATTTTAGTGAACTTTTACAGAGACTTTGGATTTCCATTCATTCATTGTTGCATTTTTCTCCCTGCCCACCTTCTAACCCCAACATTTTGTTATGACAGGAAACAAATTATTGTTTATGACTAGTTTGGAGGCATAGGCTCTAAGTCTATATAATTAATTGGTGGCTTGCCCATTCTTCTCCAGTAATAAAAAAGCATACCTCCTAGTGGCAGATGTTTCCTATTTGGCTGAGAACAACACCTTGAGGCCACAGAAGGACCTCAGGAAGAAGAAAGTACTCTTCTTCCTGACATTTTGGCTTCAAACACCAAGGACCACTGTAAGCTTTGTCTCTGCCTGCCTGCGCCCCTGCCTGCCTGGGCTTCTCTCTGGCGAAGAGAAACTCACCAAAACATCTTTCCTGTGTTATATAACTCAGCCAGACACTCTATAAACCCAGGACTTTAGTCCTCACTACACAATGTAGCAGTTCAGACTTAACTCACCACTGTTTCACTCTAAATACATAAGCTTCTTTCCAAATGCCCTGCAAGGTTACAGCGACAAGGCTTGTGTCACACATTTTTTGGTAAATCTTAGGAGCAAGAGTGGCATCCACTTCCTAAATCACATGCCTCTGGAAACTCTATAAATTTTGGAAAACGACAATAGTTATAGAAAGGCTTCATAGGATCATAGGATCGCTATGAGTCATACTCGACTCAACAGCAATCAATAACAACAATGACAATTAGCATAATAGGAAGCTCTGGTGGTAGGTATGTAGGAAGTTGCACTGTTAACCTGACAGCCAAGACTCTCTGGCACTTTGAATTTCCCAGGAGAAAGATGGACAATCTCTTCCCATGTGATTTATAGCCTTGGAAACCCTTAGCGCTGTCAGCTATGAGTTGGTTCCGACTGGCAATGATATTAAGTGTGAATAGCATAATATTGTTCTCAACAGCTACATGCAAATATGTTTATTAAAGGAAGAACTCCAAATTCCCCATGGACATCTAAAGCTTGATTCTACTCACTCCATGATCATCTTAAAATTGTTTGCCCCTAATATCTATTGAAGACTGAAGAATTGATACCTTTGAATTCCAATATCAGCAAAAAGTATTGACTATCCCATGGATTGCCAAAAGAACAAATCTTTCTCGTAGGAAGTGCAGCCAGGCTGTTCCTTGGAGGCAAGGAAGATTGAATTTTGTCTTACACACTTTTCGGCAAATTATCAGGAGGTTCTGATCCTTGGAAAAAGACCACGTGCTAAGAAAGGTGGAAGGTCAATGAAGGAGAGGAAATCCCTTGACAAATGGATAGGCACAACGGCTGTGATGAGGATCTGGAGCATGTGAGGATGGCCTGGGGCAGGGCATGGTTCTGACCTGCTCACAGGGTCCCTGTGAGTGGTAGTCGATAGCACCTAACAGCAACACAAAATGTCTAATTTGCTTGTAGTTAAAGTTTTCAATGTTAGCATACAACCTTGAGGTAGGGTGGGGGTAATCTGTGCAAGTGTAAATGGCAGTCAATAAATTAGACTCTGTTTTGTGTCAAGTATTCAGGTCCATGGACATAGTTGAAGTTGAGAACAAAACATCAACTTTGTAAACAGGACTTCCAGAATCTAGATGTTCAATTCAAAATAAAGACTATAAAGGAGAAATAAAAACCACCTCAAAACAAAACACAATACTCTATATTCTTAAGTAGGCATTTTTCTCCTTAAAAAGAATAAAAAAAGGAAGAGAAGAGGGAAAGAGAAGTTGAAGTCTTTCCCCCTGTGATGAGGAACAGGGCAGGGCTGATCAGAATGACAGCAAACACAGTAATAACGTGCTACTTTCTAGTCAAGTTGGCATCATAGAAGCCTCCACATGCAGCCCTCCTCCAGATTTCTGAGGATATAAATCTGTACAAAAGGGCAGGAGGCTATTTGTCTCCTATAGAACTACTGGAAGAAGAGAACTGCCAAGCTTTGAGCTGTGTGCCATTGAGTCAGAACTGACCCATTGCTGGCCCTCCAGTAGGTTTTTAGAAGCTGTAAATCACATGGGAGGAGATTGCTCATCCTCCCACAGAGCAGCTGGTGGATTTGAACTTTGTGCCTATAGGATTACAGTGCAACTTCTTACCACTAGGCCACCAGAGCTCCCTTTGAATTAGCAGCCCCAAATGCAATGCACTATACCATCTCTCTGAGAAAAGTGGGAATCCAGAACCTTTGATTTTACTTATGTGAAACCTATACTTGGAATGGGAGGCAATCATCAGAACAGAGCATGAAAACACTACATGGTTCAAAATCTGGAAAGGTGTACAGCAGGGATGCATCCTATCTCCATACCTTTTAAATCTTTATGAGGAACAGGTCATCCAGGAGGCTGGTCTGTATGAGGAGGAATGTGGCTCCAGGATTGGAGGAAGACTCATCAACAACCTACCTTATGCAGATGACACAATCTTGCTTGTCAAAACTGAGGAAGACCTGAAGCATTTGCTGAGAACAATGACTACAGCTTTCAATATGGGTTGAAGCTCAACATCAAGAAAACAAAGATTCTCACCACTGGGCTGACTGGCAGCATCCTGATAGCAAAGGGACTGAGATTGTAAACAGCTTCAGCTTGCTTGGCTCCACACTCAACACTATTGATACCAGCAGTTAGGAAATCAAAATATGAATTGCTTTGGGATATCTGCTATTAGGAACTTCTCCAGAGTACTGAAGAGCAATGATGCCAGTCTAGAGACTAAGGTGCACCTGGCCTAGGCCATGGTCTTCACAGTTATTTGCTATATAGCAGAGAGCTAGACAATGACTAAGATATTAGGAGGCAAATCAATATCTTTGAGTTGTAGTGCTCAAGAAGAGTATTGAATATACCATGGACTGCTAAGAGAACAAACAGCTTCATTCTGGAGAGGGTGAAACCAGGCTCATTGGAGGCAAGGATTTTGAAGTTCTGTCTGACATACTTTAGGCAAGTTGCCAGGAGGGACCAGTCCTTGGAGAGGGACATCATGTTTGGAAGGGTGGAGGGACAGCACAAGAAAGGAAGACCGTGGGTGAGATGGATTGACTCAGTGACTGGGGTAATGCGGGTAGGTGTGTCAGAGACAATGAAGCTAGCAGGGTTGGGGCTAATGTGCATCAGGTCGCTATGAATCACAAAGCCACTCAACAACACATAACAACAAGCATCATCTCCACTCCATCCCTACCCTCCTCCCTCCCTTCTTCCCTTCCTCCCTTCCTCCCTACTTTGGGAGTCAGAATTGACTCACAGCTGACCCTCCAGCAGATTTCCAAGGAGATTTTGAGTAAAAAGAGACTGTCTGTCTCCCTCCCAAGCTGCTGCTTGCTGGTGGATTCAAACCTCTAGAAAGACTGAGACTGGGTTAGTAGCACAACTTCCTACAGACTGGGCCACCAGAGCACTTTAAAATGAAATGTAGGGAGCATAATACAGACACATTCAGTTACGTGACTCTTACACCATTTTATTCCTTTGCTTGTCTACCTGAAGTTGGGAAAACTATTGAGAAGGCCTGTGTCACATCTGAGTTTGAAGTCTAGGAGGTACTGGGGTGTGTGTGTGTGTGTGTGTGTGTGTGTGTGTGATATCAACATTCTATTAAATTGTTTTAAAATGCCATGTTCATGCTATTACAGTATTTAATGACATGCATATCTTGAAATTAGTATAACATATGAAGTCTCCAGCACAGAGTGGACTCTGAGAAATGACAGTAGTCACTCTTGCCCTCAGTTCTCCTTCCCCTTCATTCTAAGCAGGAGTGTGAACTTTCTACCAGATCATGGGGTCACAGTTGTAAATATTTTGAAGTCATACCAAGGGCCCAGTGCTATTGTTTTTGTCCAATAGGCTTCTGCTCAGCAAAGGATCAAAAGGGCTCCCAGAATGACTGACTGGAAAAGGTTAATTTTCACTTTTACAATAATTTTTGTTGTTTTTCCATTTGACATGTTTATTAAAGAACAAAAAATGTGTATCATACAGCATTTTTCCTCTCCACATTTTTCGTGACTGAGCAAAATGAAGAAGAAAAGCCCACCCTGTACCAGTCAGATCTGATTTGACGGTACACACAAAAAGAACAAAAATAAAACAAAAAAAACCACAACAATTAAAAAAAAAAAAAAAGAAGAAAAGCCCAAATGCCTGATATAAAATCCAATGGGAATAAATGAATGGTTGAATGAAGCTACTTACCTGGCATCTGGACGAACGGAGACTGAGAAGAACCTGCACTGCCCTGGAAGACAGAGAGGCGAGGAGTTTTGCTTATTTAGTTCTAAGATTGAAATAACTTAAAAAAAGAGTCGTGCACACAGTTTGTAAGCTTCATTTGCTGGTATTCAGAAATATTACTGGTGGGCTGCATTGAAGAGGGAGACCAACCTAGAGAAGCAATTTAAACCCCAGGGAACGCAGTTTTACTAGTAGTGTGTTGCTGTGTTACTAGATAGGAACTGACTTATAGCTATCCCCCCGGGGGGGTCTCAGACTTGTAGCTAACCCCCCGGGGGTCTCAGAGGCTGGCTACCACATGGGAGATTACCCATCTTTCTCCCTTGGAGCTGCTGGTGGATTTGAACCTTGGGCCTTCGGGTTGGCAGCACAGTTCCTTACCACTATGACATCAAACTTTCAGATCATAGTAAATGTGCCAGAAAGCCCTAGCTGGAATGAAGATTCTCCCCCCGCCCCCATTAGGAATTGTTTGCTTTAATCATCAAAACATATATCTATCTCTTTATAACTAAAAATTCATCAATGTTGTTGTTGTTGTTGTTGCTGACCCTGTGACGGGTTTTCAGAGGCAGTTAATCACATGGGAGGAGATTGCCCATCCTTCTTCCTTGGAACAGCTGGTGGCCTCGAATTGCATGCCTCCAGGACTGCAGTGCAGCTTCTTGCCTCTAGGCCACCAGAGCTCCTAAAATTAATCAATATTGAGTTGGAATTGATTCATAGCTGACCCTCCAAGAGGGTTTTCAGAGGCTGTAAACCACATGGGAGGAGACAGCTCATATTTCTCCTGTGGAGAAGCTGGTGGTTTCCAGTAACCTGCCTTTGAGTTGGCAGCACAGATCCTTACCCATTAAGCCACAGAACCCCCAATAAAACATATATTATAGAAATACATGCATATTAATCTAACTATACATCTATACCTGGCGATGGTCCAGGTTTGCCCCACCCAGGGTGGCTGTGATCCTTTGGCCAGAGAACATGATGCTGTGTACGTGGGAGTTGTGTTGTGTTGTGTTGTGTTGTGTTGTGTTGTGTTGTGGCAGTCTCTGGAGAAAGGCGACTCTGCCTCCAGGAGCCAGGAAAGCCATGCTTGGCCTTGGGTTGAAGGCAGCAGCGGCTTCAAGCCCAAAACCCTATGAACCTGGAGTGAGGATGAAAGGCACCCAAGCGTCGAGGACTCTCCTTCATAGGGTCGCTATGAGTCGCCTGCGACTTGACGGCACTTAACAACAACAACAACATACATCTATACAGGGAGCTCTGGTGGCTTAATGGTAAGGAGTTGTGCTACCAACTCAAAGGCAGATGGTTCAAATCTACCATCTGCTCCATGAAAGATGGACAGTCCATTTTCTGATGATTATTGCCACTGAAAACCTGCTGAAATGTTTGCTATGAGTCGGTTCTGACTCAACCATTTATAACAACAACATACATCAATATATGCTGTTGTTGTGCACCATCAAGTTGGAAGCGACCCATAGCTGACCCTCTAGTGGGTTTTCAGAGGCCTTAAATCACACAGGAAGAGAGTACGCAGCCTTCTCCTGAGAGTAGCTGGTGGATTTGAACCATGTTCCTTTGCGTTGCCAGTTTATCTTGCCAGTGTGTGGCATGTGCTTCAGAGGAAAAGGAGGAAGTTCTTCCTCCCCCACCCCTTTTCTAGTGCTGTAGCCCTCTGGACCTTAGGCAGGGACTCTGCCTTGAAAGTGAATGGATGTGGTGGTGAAGGGGTGTTTCAAGTGAAGCAAGCAGAGCGTGGTTAGATGCGGTGAAGTGCTCAGTGCCCCTGAGGTTCCTTTCAGCTCTGCTGGAGAGAGAGCGTGTAAGCAAAGGGCTCAGCCTTTGATCATTACTTCTGTTGAGTGAAGGCACATATCCTCTATGATAATAATTTTTCTTAAAAAAAATCTTATCCGTTTTGAGGATAATTACTTAGACTGTCAAAAACGCAGCAGAGATCTAAGATTGTCACTGGATATTCTTTTTAATGTTTACATCTAATTGTAAAAGCTACCTGTGCTTTTTTTTTTAAAAAAAAAGTTACGTATACTTTTCAAAATTAAAAGCTACATGTACTTGTTTAAAAAGTTATGTGTACTTTTAAAAATTAAGCACCGTACTATGCCTAGTAAGTAGTTATGGTTTTAGTTTTCACACCTGAAAGACTTGTGCGTCTCACTGTTTCTTATAAAAGGGAAACCACTATAAAGGATTTGTGGTTTATTTCCCCAGAAATTTGAAAATGTAGAAAAAATGCACATATACATATAACTTCCAAAATTATACTTACATACCATATTAAAACCTAGAACTCTGCAAATTGACACTTTAAGCATCTTTTGGAAGCCTTTTAGTGGCCTAGAAGCTGCAATCTCAAAGGCCTGCAGTTCTAATCCATCAGCTGCTCCGCGGGAGAAGAATGAGCAATCTCCTCTCATACAATTAACTGCCTCTGAAATCCTGCCAGAGGATCTGCTATGGGTAGGTTGTGACTCGATGGCACACAACAACAGCAAAAACCACCAGGAGTTGATGCGATACCAGTTGACATATTTCAACTAATATGAAATATGTTGGTCAGCCCTGGAAGTGCTCACCAATCTATGCCAGGAAATTTGGACACAGTTGTTTGGCTGACTGACTGGAAGAGATACTTGTTCTCATTTTCTAGAAATATAGAATGTAGAAATTATTGAACAATATCATTACTATCACATGCAAGCAATACATTGCTGTAGATCATTCCAAACTGGCCACAACAGTACATTAATAGAGAAATTCCAGAGGTTTAAGCTAGGTTTAGAAGAGACTGTGGCAACAGGGATGTCATTGCTGATGTTTGATGGGTCCTGGCTGAAAGCAGAAAATATCGGAAGAACATCTAACTGTGTTTTATTAACTATATAAAGACTTTTGATGATGAGCTCTGCTGGCTAAGTGGTAAGGAGCTGTGCTGTCAACCCAAAGGCACATGGTTCGAATCCACCAGGTGCTCCGCGGGAGAAGGACAGGCAGTCTCCTGTCCCGGGATTTACTACCTCTGCCACGGTAAACAACACAATCTGAAAAAGAGGAGTACTTGAAACATTTGGTGCAGAAAATCAAAGACTACAGCCTTCAATATGGATTGCATCTCAACATCAAGAAGACAAAATCTTCATAACTGGCCCAATAGGCAACATCATACTGTTTTTATTATTAACTATTGAGTTGACTATGACTCCTAGATACCTCCATGCACATTAGTTCTACAACCTGCCCTATCCTGAGACATCTATCTCCAACACAACTACTAACATTACCCCAGTAACTGTGTCAATTCATCTCATACAGGGTCTTTCGGTCTTGCACTGGCCCTCCAACCTTCCAAGCATGAGGTCTGTCTCCAAGGACTGGTCCATGCTGGCAACATGTCCAAAGTATTGGCAGATGGAGCTTCAAAATCCTTGCTTCCAAATACCTACTTGGCTTCACCTTCTCCAGGATAGAACTATTTGTTCTCTTGGCACTGGTATGTTCATCATACCACTTTTCCAGCATCACAACTCTTCTGCAGTAAACACTTCAGGCTCTCCTCAGTGTCAACAAGCAAGGTTGTATCATTTCCACAATATAGGTTGTTGATGAATCTTCCTCCAATCATGATGTCACATTCTTCTTCATAAAGTCCAGCCTCCCAAATGGTCTGTTCTGCATGCATATAGGTTGAAAAGGTATGGAGACAGGACACATCCGTGAAGCACTCTTTTCCTGATTTTGAACTATGCAGTATTTCCATGCTATGTTCTGACTACTGTTTCCTGGTCTAAATATATATAGGTTTTGCATGAGCACAATCAAGCGTTCTGTGATTCCAATTCTTCTCAAGGTTAGCTACAATGTGTTGTGATCTACAGAGTAAAATACTTTTGCATAGTCAATGAAAACACAGACGTTCTTCTGGTACTCTCTGCTTTCAGCCAAGATCCATCTGGCTTTAGCTATGATGTTCCTAGTGCTACAGCCTCTTCTAAACCCAGTTTGTATTTCTGGTAGTTCCCTGTTGATGTTCCAGTTATTTTTGTATCATCTTCAGAAGGATTTGACTTATGTGTAATATTAGTGATGTTGTTATGTTCCATTGAGTCACTTGCGACTCATAGTGACCTTATGTACGATAGCCCTGAAACTGCTCTATCCTGTGCCAAGTTTACTGTCTCTAATACACCATTATCACAGTCACTGAAGCAATCCATTTCTTTCGTGGTCTTCCTCTCTTTCCCTGTCTCTCTACCCTTCCAAACATTATGTCCCTCTCCAAGGTCTGGTCCCTTCTTGTAACATGCCCAAAGTATGTCAGACGAAGCCTCAGAACCTGGTTTTACCCTCTCTAGGACAAGCCTGTTTTTTCTCCTGGCAGTACATGGTATATTCAGCACTCTTTTCCAGCACCACAGTTCCAAGGCATCAATTATCTATCATCCTTAGCCACTTTCCATCTCTCTGATGCATAGCAAGCAATTGTAAAGACTATGGCCTGGACCAGGTGCATCTTAATCTCCAGACTGACATCATTGCTCTTCAGTACTCTGGAGAGATCCCTGATAGGCAACTTCCCAATGTAATCTGTCTTTTGATTTCCTGGCTGCAGGTACCAAGACTGTTGATTGTAGAGCCAAGAAAACTAAAGCTGTTAACAATCTCAGTGTCTTCACCATCTATCATAATGCTGCCAATTGGCCCATTGGTGACAATCTTTGTCTTCTTGATGTTGAGCTTCAATCCATATTAAAGGCTGCAGGTTTTTACCTTCTGCAGCAAGCACTTAAGGTCCTCCTCAGTTTCACCAAGCAGGGTTGTGTTATCTGCATAATGCAGGTTGTTGATGAGTCAGTCTATTTCCAATCCTGATGTCACATTCCTCTTCATAGAATCCAGCCTTCTGGATAATCTACTCTGCATATAGATTGAAAAGGTATG